AAAATTTTAATATTTAGACTGCAAATCAAAATTGTTATGGTTAATGACCACTGAAGATAAAGATGTACCCAAGAAGCTAAGTCATTTTCTTATACAGAGTTGAATTGAGATCTAAAAGGTCTGTACATGACTAAGTCTCATTTAGTTTATCTATATATAAAGATGCATTTTGTTACATCTTGTGATCCGTTTATTTGGCAATCGCCAATGGCAGTCAGCAGGGTTAAAGAACATCCGTTGTTCGACCTGTTAGTCAAATGCGTTTTGTTTAAATATACTTTTTCAATTTTTGGTCTTTTGGAAAATGTTGTTTTTGCTGTATTTAGACCCTTCTACCAAGAAATTTGTTTTGCATGTTATAAAAATTGCGGTTTTTATCCAACGCAATCATAGGTTTGAACGTTGTTTTCAATTTAGACTTATATATATTATATATATATATATATATAGATTTTAAATAAAATACACATTACTTTATCTATGTGTATGCATTATACATTTATATGGTGATGCCTAATGTATGTGTTAAACTGCAGTCAAAATTGTATAGGTGCTTATCCAGTTTTAGCAATTTAAAAGTTGTATACATAAATATTTTGTAATTGGTTGCTGCATGTACATGGGAAAACACTACCCTTATATTTAATCAGTTGGGGCTGCTTGAGATTTTAAATCTGATCAACATATCCTGAAAGTTTACTAGATACTGCTCAAAGGGAAATAATGCTTACATTTTAATTGATTGCCTCCCCTATTAACGTCTCTCTCTCATGTACATGCACTGACTATTCATTGTTCTATTGTGTTGTATTTTATTATTTCATTATCATAAAAAAATCATTGTAATCATTGTATGAAATTTAAAACCCGCAAGGGTCCATAATTGGTCAAATAGACCAAAATATTTCTTTTTCTATTAGGTTTAGCATTCTCGAATATTTTGGACTAGAGCCTAACTGAAATTTGCATCTGGTGCAGTAAAATTGCTACCTATATTGTAATTGTAGCTCTCTTGGCTATATCATAGCGACCAGTTTTAATTGACAGAGGAAACTGAAGTACCAAAAGAGAAACATTGGGATCGGAATTAAAATGTGCATACCTTGTAAATAAGTAGCTAAATTGAATGCACCTTGCCACGAGCAATTACGAAATCACAGCTGCGGTGTTGACACTTAGACCACACGGTCACCGAGGCCCCAACGGTAAAGAAACAAACTATTTAATTATGTTGAAGTTTCAAAAGGGTCAAAACACAGAGTTTAAACCTTATAATGGAAAATTTGGATGAAGGAGTTAAAAGTTTTTGTAAGTTAAGTTAAAATCACCATTTTCGAAATATTGGTCAATACTTTTATTGAACTATTACTTTCTTCATACGCTTTTTCTATTTATTCTTAGGATATATTGGATGCTATAAAGATTGTGGAACAAATATTGAACGCATACTGGGTAACAAGAATTTGAAAAATATATCTGATCTCAGCTCGGATAAATGTAGCAATTTATGCCAAGGTTACCGATATAATGGACTTCAGGTCAGTTTTTAGCATTTTAAGCGAACATTTGTTTAAGGTATTTATACTTATGGTCAGTTTACATTAAATTAATATATCTACTAAGTGTACAATACTTGTAATCGTAGGTTTCGCTATTTGACTAATCGAAGACTAATCGCTTTGGAGATTCCGTATATCGTCAAGTTATCGGCATTCCAATGGGGACTAACTGTGCACCATTTATTGCGGACCTGTTTCTGTATTGTTATGAGTTACAATTAAAATCAGCAAAGACCCATCAAAACAACATCTGATACAAAAATTTAATAATACTTTTAGCTATTTGGATAATATATTGGCTCTCAATAATGACGACTTCAGTATGTACACTAAAGAGATTTATCCTGTTAAACTAACTTTAAATAAAGCTAATACTAACAATGAACACTGCCCTTTCCTGGATATTGATATCTATATCATTAATGGGAAGCTTAATACCAAAATTTATGATAAAAGAGATGATTTTTCATTTACTATTGTTATTTATCCATTTTTAGATGTGACGTTCCCTTGTCACCATCTTATGGTGTTTATATATCTCAACTTGTACGATTCGATCGTGTATGTAACAACGTATTAGATTTTAGCGAAAGAAATATATGTATTAATGAAAAATTATTACTCCAGGGTTTTCGATATCACAAACTAGTCAAAACATTTACTAAATTTTATCATCGGTACAAGGACATCATTCGTAAATATAAATCAACATGCAGACATCTTAAACGTTCAGGTATTTCACATCCAATCTTTTCTGGTAATATTCTTTACAAAGCACAAAAATTGCGGCATTCACCTCTTAAGCTAACAAAACCTTTAAAAAGACTTATTAAGGAGGGATATCGTTACGATACTGTTGTCAGATCATTTAAGATGGCATATTTTGGCTGTAATATTGATTGACTTGTAGGGTCTTTGCATCGGAAATAAACACATTTATTCTAAAACCAGTTGTTGGCATGTTACGGGTTATGTTCTTCTCATATATGTTATGATGGTATGATACTTAACCCCTAACGGAAGGGATTGTGCTTGATATTCATATGATGAAGACATAATCTTTCAATCAGTTTAATTGATGTCTGGAGCTGGCATGTCATTAACTGCTAGTAGTCCACTGTTAATGTATGTATCGTTGTCATTTTGTTTAGTTTCTTTTGTTACCTATTCTGACATCGGATTCGGGCTTCTTTTAAACTGAGTTTTTCTTTGCGTATTGCTGTGTGTTTGGTTTTTTTTCTACATTGGCTAGAGGTATAGGGAGATGGTTCAGTTGTTAAAAAAACATGTTTAACCCCGCCGCTTTTTTGCGCCTGTCCCAAGTCAGGAGCCTCTGGCCTTCGTTAGTCTTGTATTATTTTTAATTTAAGTTTCTTTTATATATTTCGGATTTTAGTATGACGTCCATTATTACTAAACTAGTACATATTTTTGTTTAGGGGCAAGCTGAAGCACGCCTCTGAGCGAGGAATTGTATTTTAAGTAGGACAAGAAAGGTTCACGGTCACGAAATTGAATATGGTAATATTTTTTACCACCAATATAATGTCATTGCAGCGATACGACTACACACCATACCCAAAATATACCCCTGGTGGTTCCGCCCTGGCTATCAATTTAGTTATTTCCTGAAAGAACCAAGCATACCACTTAGTGAGCAATACATCGTTTCATTTTCATATTCCATAATGATTGTATGCTTATTTTCTACATAAATTGACATATTTCAAATTTCGATTAGATATTCAATAGAACTTGCCACAACCTGGTCTACTGGCTATTGCATTCATTCTTAAATAATATTTAATATATCTGTGTTCACTGTTATACTATGTTGAAACATTATGACCCGTTGAAGTTATTTTTTGTATTGAATGCCAGAAAGAGATTCCGAACCAATTATATAAAGAGAGGACAATCGAACTCCATATAACAATAAAAAAGGACGCAATAAAATACAACTATGAACAATCATACTAGACTCTGCAAAATAATGAAACGATGTGTACAATAAACAAAAGTGTTAACCATTAAGTTGTTGGAATTTTGTTTGCCAATACATTTCGTGATCGTTTTGTCGTGATAAAAAGGGTTAGGTTTTAGAAATGCCACTGTAAAATGAGTGCATGTTGTATATGCCAGCTACAGAACCCTCAGAAAGTCTTGAAAGTGTTCTTTAACGAACAGAGAGCGTGGCATTCATTCTTAACGAGGTATCGGATATTAAGTCTCGATTTTAAACAAACTTGGCTGCATAGTTATGCATCCCGCCACTTTAACAAGGGTTTTACTGCCAACACAGAAGAAATCAGAATGACCATATATTGAAGCTAACAAAGCTATGTAAAATATTATATGAGAAATATATACAAAGGACACTTTTTATATTCCAATCACAATTTTATTACCAATCTGCAAAAAAGAGTCGAAAGATACCAAAGGGACATTCAAACTCATAAAAAGTAACCTGACAACGGCATGGCTTAAAAAGAAAAAGACAAACAACAGTTCACAAAATACAACAAAGAAAACTAAAGACTGAGCAACACGAATCCCAACAAAAACTAGGAGATCTCAGGTGCTCCGAAAGGGTAAGCTGATCTTGTACTTCATGTGACACACGTTGTGTTACTCCTATAAAATACGTTGATAAGTTATATCAAGTGATTAGACATAACACAATGGCGGAATAGTAATTGGCTCTTTTCTTACCCTAAGACATCCTCAAATTTTAGACCATTGTTCATGTAAAATTTTCTAACCATGAAACTTGACCGAATGTAAAATTTGAAATTGAAACATGTTTTTTATGACAAAGGATAGACGAGACTGTTACCGGTATAAACAACACAAACATTTAAAAATATAAAAGCACAAACAACAACACTTGTAACTAAAGCAAGAGCAACACGAACCCCTTTAAAACAAAATTAGAGGTGATCTCAGGTGCTCCTGAAAGGTAAGTAGATCCTGCTCCACATGTGTGGCACCCATCATGGTGCTCATGTAAATACAAAGACGATTATAAGTTCAATTCGTTAGGTCACATTACAGGAAAGGGAGAATTGTAGTTACGACAATTTGAACATATCCGTCGTAATCTAAGAAATGAACCAGATATTCCATAACTTTTAACCAATTCGTGATGGCGTCCGTGAAATTTACCAGGGTATGACTTCAATTTCATAACTTCGAGTTCTTGGTTTAAGGGAACGACCATTTCACTTCAAAAGGGGGGGTATGGTTTTTTTCCTAAAAAAATATTCTGATCCCCAATTTGATGAAAGAAAATATTGTGGTCAAGCAGATGACAACAAAAAAATATTCTGAATCAAGATTTTCCCCAGATTTTCCCTTTTGAAAAAAATAATTTGATTGCTAGCGTCGAAAAACTGACTCATACAAATAAAATAATAACCCTCGGATAATAAAAAAGTAAAATAATATTATATAACTTTAGTTTATTCAGTTGCAAGTCTGTTTGCTTTAAATGCATACAAATTCTATAACAACTAAAAAAATATATTTTATGTAGAATGCTCGTGAATGTTTTTGTGGAAACAATATGGACACAGTCACCTTTCCAAGAGTACCAGAAAGTGAATGCAACATGACATGTACTGGTCAAAAGTCCACAATGTGTGGTGGAAGATGCAGAATCTCAATATACTATGTATGAAGGCATGGTAGATGACATAATCAGATCTTTATAAGTATTGAGGCCTAACATTGTAATGATATGATTTAAGGCCAGGGCATACGATTCGGTTTTCATCCCACGGTGAATTTTTGACGAAAATTTGCATACAAGCTGTTTTTTCACCTAGTCACCAAGACAATTAAAATATGTAATAAAAAGTATACCTTCATATGCTACTTTTAGAGATAAATGGTGTCGAAATTTTAGGCATTTAATGGAAATTTCGGTTTCTTGGACATTTCCATCCTTTAGAAAGACATACCTTACTTTTTTTGTTTCAATTGTTTCAAAAGATAATCGCAAGCGGAATTTAGTAAAACATTTGGAATATCTTTTCAACATAAAATGTGCTTTGAATTTGTGTAACAATTCTTTGGGAATAATACATTTTGATAAAAAATTCATAATTTTGTTAAAGAAATTTTTTTTGCTGTATATATTTATCTAATTTAAAAACAATTTGATCGGTGTTTTGATAATAATAAAAGTAAGCACAAATTATTTCCTACATAATCAGGCCTATGCCTTGTTTAAAAATAGGGTCAATGTACTCGTTTTCAAGTTAAATCAGTCTGAATGATAAAAATCAGTCGAAAAATGCATCATAATTTCCCGATATGTCATCGCTTGACGTCGCGAAAAATAACATTTTACGTTAGCGACGTCATTACCTTCCCTGTAACTGTATCGTATGCCCTTGATTGATAGTGGCTGACCGTCAATTTCAACGCATGCAGACATGGAAGAAATAGAATAAGCAAAACACCTGATATTTTACTAAATATTTTGAAACCGAATGGATTATATGTCCTGCTTTACAGTGCTCAAATAATGATCATATTACATTATACATTATATTTTTAAAGAAGTACAAAATACTAAATATATTTGCATTCACATTTTATGTTGTTTATTAAACCCTCATCGCTCCCGCAGCAGTGGTATCAGCATGTGGTTTTTGAAAATGCGCAAGTCCCGTCTACACAAGACTTTCAAGTAGTGCTAGAACTAAAACTGAAGTACAAATGATTTTGATTTTTTATGATCAGTAAATTTTCAAAAATGACGAATCAATTATATTTTATGACACCACAGAAGTGCTTAATACCTGGTTGGTCATAACCTCGTGGACGTAACGTTCACCAGCAGTGAAAATGGCCAAGTGGTAGTAAAAGTCCTTTAAAAATATCAGGTCCTTGCACGTTTGTCTTAAGAATGTGATGATCTATAATGCATTTGTAATGGGGATCTTGACTCTAAACCATTTAAATTGTCTCTCCTTCACGAGACAAAAAGATACTGTTTCAAGTACGTTTCTTAAAAATCTAGATGCAAAATCACTATATGATATAGGATATATAACTGAGAATCATAATATTAGATGTAAGTCAGCTAGCTTTGTTTTTGTCTTCTGTTGTAGATTTAATGTTATTATCTTTTTTGGGGTCCATGAAGTCTTTCCCTGTACAGTCCAAATTAGTACACTTACAAATTGCTGAATCTGGTACCTGTAAGAAGATGAATAATACTATATATTTATTAATATATTAATAATTATTGATAAAATATTTAATTTAAAACGTTTATATGTGGTACAACGAATGAATGTTTCTTTGTTCTCAATATGTGTGACCACGTGATTTTTTTTAATATTTATCAGCAAATGCTATTCAAACCTTTCTAGGCATTGATTACTTAATGCTACAATAATGGTTGGTTTATCAGTGATTTTAATAAAAGATAAAAGTCAAATATACAAATTAAAATGCCTTTATCTGACAAGACCTAAGTGTCATCTGATCTTAACGTTGTTTTCAAGATACATTCCTGAGTAGACCATTTTTGAATTCTTTAAGTAAACGATCCACACAGTTTCATTAAAAGAATAACTTTTCTGTCTACCGACAGGTTCATCTGACCGAGACATAAATTTTACGTAGCATTTATAGTCATATGATTTACTGGTAAAGTCAACTACTGCCTTAATAATTAAACTTTATTTAATCTTACTCTGTAAACAACTGATGATGTATGTATTGTATTCCTTTAACTTTTGAAAAAGAGAGGGGAGAAAGATAATCAAACTCACAAGTCGAAAACGAACTGACAGTACCATGGCAAAAAAAAACGAAAAACGATCAAAAGACAAACAACAGTATACAACACACAACATAGAAAACTAAAGATTGAGCAACACGAACTCCATCGAAAATCGGGGATGATATCAGGTACTCCCCATGCTTTGAGTTGAATTTAATGAACAGGCAATATGTTGCTGTTTGTTAATATAGAAGTCATTCGATTATATTTCAGCATACTAGCTTTAATCAAATAAATATAGCATTAGGTTCAGAAGAATGTTAGACGTTTCTAGAAACATAAATAATAGAAATTTGGTTTTGGTCGAAAGATATGTACTGGTGTACGAAGGCTCAATTCAAGCTAACCATCTTGATTATGATACTTATAACCAATATCTTCCCTTTTTCCATGAAAGATTGCGAAATGTGAAAATAACTTCAGAACAGGAAACTCCGGATACAGAGATTTATAAAGGGTTCCATATTTTGACAATGCAATGCTAATATATTCTTTATCAATCAATAAACTGTTTGAATTTATTGGTTGATAGATTGTTGGTGTTAAACGCCACTTTTAAATCTCTCGGCTATATCAAAGCGGCTAGTGTTTATACACAGGAAATCTTGCAACATATGTTTTCATAAGAAAAACATGTTTTTCATATGTTCACAAACATATGACAAACGTATGTTGAAAACCCCTTATGAAAAACATGTGTTGCAATTTTTCCTGTGCTATAGGTGGTGTAGTTGGGGTTCCTGTAAAGAACAACTTAACTTCGGCAGGAAAACCAAAAATCCAAGTAAATAATGATCGGATTCGAACGCACATTGGCACGAGCAGGATATGATGGATTGACTGATTAACTGTTGGTGTTTTACGCCACTTCAATCACACTTTGCTATATCGTGACGTCCAGTTTTTTTCGGTGGAGGAAGCAAGAGTAGAAGGAGGGAACTTTCGACCTCCGACAGGAAAACGTGTTACCCTAGTGGTTACAGACAAGTGATAACTGTAGATGAATTACTGAAACAGCTTGGCCATCAATCAAGACCCTTGTTTTTATTAAAATTTGCATACAGAACTGATCTAAAAAGAATCTTTTTTTTCTTTTGTATAACTTTACCTTTTTTAGAGGTGTATAACTTGGCAGACAGTGAGGTGTTACTGTGTCATTAGTTGCCTTGCAGTAACATGAAAGTAAAGCCCAACGACGGAGAGCACTGTTGTTAGCATTACTGGCGTGTAACAAATTAGAGTGGAAAAATAAAGCATCACCTGAAAAAGAAAGATTTATTTTGCTAATTTGAACTTGAAGATTGCCATTCCTTTGTCTTTGTCAACCACATTTTGTTAGATGTAGGATAAGCTCAAAGTTTCCAATTTGTCTCCTCCTTTCGTATATTTTTTATGGATTACTACTTTCAACGCGCTATTTCAACTTTAAGGGGACATTTTTAGTTAGTCATTGAAGAATTACAACTGAACTCACTCTTTTTAAACAATGATTATTAAACAACAAAATAATTATCGTGGGATTATCTACAGGGATATCAAATGCTAACCTGGATTCATTTCTACATGTTCTAGAGGTAACTTTTGTTTGATCAGCTCCACTCTCTCTATATCAGCACCGGTTTGACCTTCAACTTGTTTGTGTTCAATTCTTCCACATTTGTGTGATCCTTTTATGATCTGAACAAAATTAACAGTTTGTACATATTTTACAATGGCAATTTAAGTACAAAAATACGGATATCAGTTGTATTTTTGTTTTTGTCTGGTGAACTAAACCTTTAATCCGGAATGCATGGTGATTTTGATACATAAAAGTTGAAAAATCAGATTAGGCATACTTTAAGTTCTTTTATTTGTAGCGGATATGTTCCAAATGTCGTAATTACAATCCCGTCCCCTTTTTCCCGAATGTGACCTACCGAATTAGACTTATTAACGGGTTTGTACTAACATGAGCAACACGACGGGTGCCATATGTGGAGCAGGATCTGCTTACCCTTCCGAAGCACATGAGATCACCTCAGTTTTTGGTAGGGTTCGAGTTGCTCAGTCTTTAGTTTTCTATGTTGTGTTTTGTGTACTGTTGTTTGTCTGCTGGTCTTTTTCTTTTTTAGCCATAGCGTTTTCAGTTTATTTTCGACTTATGAGTTTGAATGTCCCTTTGGTATCTTTCGCCTTTCTTTTTCAGTGTATTGATGCATCCCTTTAATTTTCCAAAATAATGCCTCAATATCCCTTGCTGTCTTCATCAATTTTTCCCTTATCTGTTGTCACCCATCTGGGTTTTTTTCATGTTTAACTATGCTATACAGTTTTATTCCCCAAAACTCACATCTGAGATACACACTTGATGAAATAATTTGAATTTTTTGTTTATTCTATTTAAATTAATAACGCAGTTCAATACTGCTAATACAAAATGCATTATAGTTTCCTCCTCTAAAATTCTAAATACTACATGCATGCATCTTAAAAACAATCCAAGGACCTGGTTTTTTTCATAATCTTGCTGTATTACTCATAAGCTTTTGAATGAAACTTCATTTTCGATTTTATTTTGAATTCAGCAAAGAACAACATTAACTAACATCCTAACAAACGATGTTTGATATCGATATGATTGTAAAATTCCGTATAATAATGACAGCGCATGTTGCAGAAAATACGAAAATCGATCATGCACATCTATGTATATTTCAAAATGAAATTGAAAATTACTGAATACTTAGATGGACGACAAAAGTACTCAGTGGTATTTGATCACTTTTAAGTCTACTCCAAGTACTTTTCTTCACATGTGATGTAAATGTATGTTCTCATAAGTAATGGTTGTTAAAGTCATATGAAATATCAAATTTAAACAAAAAGTTGAATATGTTTTATATACTTGAATGGGTAAGTTTTACTATAAAACAAGTGTACGTGTGCTTTCTTGGAAAAAAATCCTTTATATTATCAAAATCTTCATAAAAGGACTGCTATTGAACTATTGTCTTCCCGTACTCTAATTCCCGATATTTTCCTGTATGCAGTGACTTTAACTACGAGACATTCGGTAGAACTCCGGTCACCGCACAGCGCAAGTGCGAGGGGAACACCGTGATGAAAGGATGTAAACAAACGTGCACAAGAAGATAAATAGTAATAACTGATACTTAACGAATAAGATAAATACAACAAAACATTTAACAACTGTTAGGGAAAAGTTCATTCAACAAACACGACCGCATGGAAAATATAAAAAAACAAGATCACAAAAAAAGCTTGAAGCCATTTTTAGGAGTGGAAATTTGAGAATAAAAGTCTGATATTTTTATGAAATTAAAGTCCAAAACCCGTAATTTCAGCAGAAATCGATGGAGCGGAACAAAACGTTAACTCGATCTGTAACTCATCATAGTGAACTCACATACTAAAAATCAGCTCAATATGTAAAGACATTTAAAAAAAGTCTGTATTACTGTTATTTTCATGAAATTTTCAAAGCCCGTAATATCGGCAAAAAACAGCCGAGCAGAACCAAACGTAAACTCGATCTGTAACTTATCACAGAAGACACACATACTACAAATCAGCTCAATATTGGAAGGCATTAAGAGAACAAAATTCGTATAACTGTTCGTTGCGGAATGACGGAATGACGGATAAGGTTAAAACTATATAGCCCTATCATGGCTCTATCAAGTTACTTATACTTCACGTGTTTCGCGTGCTCTGTGTTGATTGTTTATCAATGTCTAGATCTGGTAAACTTCTCCAACGTACTCAAAAGTTAATTAGCTTGCGATTAACAATCACTGAATGAAATGTTATTTGTCATTAATACGTAATAGATTCGTAATAAATGTAAAAAATAAAACGTGCACACAGGACTTAGTTTAGAATATATGCATACATTAGTTCACAAATTTCGATAACATTATACATGTAATTACAGGAAGTTCGTTTCATATGACTTTAAGCTCACAAATTTAAGGTAATGCTTTTTTTTCCAGAAACACGTGTTGTGTTCACAAAAGAGTATAATTTTTTTTTTTTAATGTATTATAACGGCTCATTCATCATATCAGGAACATTGCCGTCTTCTGCATATCGTTCAATTGCATCTGTGATTTTGATATCGATGTTTGTTATCATCTATTCTTTTTAAAATCTGTTTCCATTTTCCGACTATAACTTTGGCTCTTACTTTAATTGTCATGATTTCATACGCCAGATGTTATCCGCTTTATGTTGCAAAAAAGACACAGGACTTACTTCTAGACAGCCATTTTCTTTAATACATTTATCTACTGCAATAAACACAGTCATCATATCAGCAGTCAGAAATCCATTATGATACCAGTATCTGCAGTATAAGACAATCTCAGTAATAAACAAGGAGGTCTGTGTGTCATTTGCATATGTGTGTGCCACTATTCTTTTCTTATGTTTAACCAGTTATAAATAAAAACTGTGAAAAGAAATAACATCACACTAAGCTGGCGATAAAACAATGTAAACGATAAACAAACTCATGCTAAAAAAATTAAACAACACTCAAAGTAAATTATGGTAGACAAACCATTGAACAGAAACCTGAAGTCCTCAATAAGAAACAGCACTGAGCTTAGCTGCTCCGGAAAGGTAAGTAGTTCAAAATTTATTTCTTTTTGTTTACGGTAAATGTAATGTTGGTTTGTTCTTGAAAAAGATTAACATGAAGGTATGGCTGACTTAATAAACTCCAGTGGTGACATTACCCATAGTCTTGATGCCAGATAAAACTTCCGCCAGTGAAAGGTTCTTTCATCATCAGTTTAGTGTGATAGTGGTATACCTCACCGCCTAAAAGCTAAGAAAAGATATTGCTTGGTGGTTCTAACAAATCAATTGGTATTTCAAGGAGTTATTTTCACCCTAAAATAAAAGAGTTACCAGAAAGTTTTGATTGAGTGGAAGTCATATTTTCCAATTTTCAAAACTTAACATGCACTAGCTTCGGATTTTAATATCTTTAAAAGTTTTATTAAATGATGACACCACTCTTTCACGTCTGATTATATCTTATTCATACAAGTGTCGTATGTATTGAAATCATAGCATTTTGTATTCATGAGAAAACCACATTTTAGTTATTTTACGAAATTTCTCCCAGTTGTACACCATCTTTCCACATGTACTTACATTGCATATCTACACGACGTGAAAATAATGTTTCGGTTTTTTTCACGCTTTTCCCACATGAAAACATATCTTTCCATCTATTTATTCTATTGCTAATGCTTAAACACCTATTAACAGATATTGACATGTGTCCACTTCGTAAACCCCACTCTCATTACATAAGGTACCTTTTCACATGTGGAGACCACCTTTTCACATCGCCCTAACATTCCTGTGACATCATTTCCGGGGTGTTTCCATATAACAAGTTTGCTTGTTTTCCCGTTGTCATCAGCTACCTGTAAATTCATTACAACATTGTATTAAATGATTGTTTTTTACCTAATTTGTTGTGTGTCAAATAGTTTTGTTTTCATTATTAGGACGAAAAACAAGCGAACTCATTATTTTTTTTACCACTACACCAAATAGAAAATTCTTTCTTGAAGTAGTCAAATAAAGTCAAATCTATTGTTTGTGTTGTCAGTGTGTTCCAAAGTCGATTGCCTAAGAGGTAGAAAGTTGTGAACTTGAGTGACGATGAAAAAGTTCTAAATATTTACAGTCCGATATTCAGCCTTATAACATGCACTGGAATACCTATCTTGATCTCAAATGGTCATTTTGATATGAACAGTTCTCAAATGACTGAACAATAAATTGTTAAGTTATTTTTAGTCTTTCAGTCAATGTTCGGACTTATCTACTGTGGAATATTCAGTATTGTTCAGACAATTCTCTTGCAGTGAATTAAGATATGTTCAATCTATGTTCAGACTGATCAGAATTGTTTATTTACCTGTACGCTGTAACATGATATTGAATTATCTTAAAAGCTTCTGAATAGTTCTGAATTAAAGGCAAGTGAATGGTCTGAACAGTACTACATTTACCGCAGTGGTTAAGTCTGAAAATTTATTAAATAGCATACTGTTTCTGACTTTTTAGATGATGTTAAGATCAAAATGATCGTTTATGACTAAAATTCATTTACAAGAAACGTATCGTACAACACTTTCTGAAGAATTATTTTTATAATGATGGAAGCGAAGCATTATTCACACGGACTTTTCCAACACATAACGCGAAATTCCAATAGTCGTACAATTTTACCACTAGGCTCTCGATCACTGGTCATGAAAAAATATAAAGAGGAAGTTTACTTTTATTACTTGAAACGTCTTTCAAAGGCAAAAGTAAAATTAATAACAAGAGATGTGAGATAATCAAGCAACAACTCAAAGACACAGATAAAAATGTTTTACCTACATCATGTAATAGTGATTGTATGATTGTATGACGGAATATTGATACTTTCACTTATAATATAAAAATGAGGAGATATGTTATGGTTGCCAATGAGACATATATATCATAGTTAAAATAAAGTGTTATCAAGCAGTTATAGGCCACCACACGGCCTTCAACTATGACAAAAACTCATACCGTATAGTCGGTTATAAAAGGCCCTGGCATGAAAAATGTGAAACTATTCAAACGAGAAAACTAACGGCCAAATCTATAACAAAACAATTTACGAAAAACAAATATGTCAAACATGAACCAACGACAACCACTCTACTACAGGCTCCTGACTAGGGGCGGGCACATATAAAATGTGGCGGGGTTTAACATGTTTGAAGGCGCGCAACCCTCTCCCTGACCTTGTATTGGGGTGCAACAGTGGAATTTTTTCACCACTCATGTAAAAAGCAAAAAATGGAGTTCAAATTATAAAGTCTTTTAATCGAATTTTTAAGCATAAATTTTAGTTTAAGAATTAAAGATTCGTTGTAGCAGCCTGAATTAAAAGAAAAGTTGCTCAAAGGTACAAAATACTTGGAGCAATTTGACGAAATATAAGCATACAATTTTTAAAAATAAGTAATAACACACTATCACTCACATACCCCAAATGAATTTTTCTGCAGGTCTTCACTGTTTTCTAATGCTGTTCTTATTTTCTTTACCTCTTCTTCGTCTAAGAGATTGCTGATTATATAATAGCAAAGAAAAATACAATCTTCATAAAAACAGATGATATTTTATACATCTACACACTTTGAAATGTTGTAAAAATTTCATTTAACAATCCGTTGGGTAGCCTGCCTGTTGTAATACATATAACGAATATGGCATGTGATAACATCGCGATAAAGCTATGCTAGCATGAATTTTGGGTCCTCAATGCACTTCAACTTCGTACTTAATTTGACTTTTTCTAACTTTTTTTATTCGATCATCACTGATGAGTCTTTTGTCTGCATGGCGTACAAATTTTTAGCCTGGTATCTATGAAGAGCCCCAGGCAAAATTTTATCAAAAATATGTTTTTATGGAAAACAAAAAGTATCATCGATATAAAAATGACTTATGCCTTTATTACGGAATTATATATATTAACTCTCATCATATATATAATTCCGTAATAAAGGCATAAGTCATTTTTATATCGATGATACTTTTTGTTTTCCATAAAACATATTTTTGATAAAAGTTTGCCTGGTGGTCAGATATAGTCAATTGAACTTCTAGTATTTTAATGTATCCTCCTAATATCTAAGATAATAAAACAAACAAATAAGAAATGTAATCGATTTTTGTGGACGTCAGAAAAATCTCATTTATAAAGGTCATAAAAATTAAATGTTTAATAAATATGTGCTTTTTAACATTAGATTACAAAAGTGTCAAATCAAACGGACTACAAAATATTACATGAGGTTAAAAAGTTACTCTATACATTTTGCTATTACTTGTCGAGTTGTGTCTCGTTTTGGAAGGAGTTCGTTTTGCCTTACGCTTAAATAAGTTTGCCCCCGATTGTGACATCACCAAATGCGACTAATCATCGACTTTTACTTACCATCAGGAACAAGTTGGATTCCGCAGGTAGAACAGGCACTGCTTGCTTTTCCTGGCCACATAATTCATCCCGGTTTTTTGCCGAGGTCCGTGTTGCTCAATCTTAAGATTTGTGTGTCGTGCTTAGTGAACAGATGTTTTTTATGTTTTTGTTTTTATTTTTTATCAGGTTTTCCCTGTCTTATGGTTTTTGGTTTGCCCTATACTTTCTTCTATCCATTTGAAAGATGTACCAATTGTTTTATTTTAATATGAGGATATGTCTTAAAACTGTGATTTCATGGGTAAATTTAAAAATGTCATGCATTTTTACTTTTCAATAGAACGTTTTGAAATAAAATACAAAAATGTAGCTCCAAGTGTGATTAAACGCAAACGAACAATTTGAATCATCTATTTGATAACTACTAAATGACGTATTTTCCTTAACAAATATCAAAATGTTACCGTATCATGATATATCCACATTGCAAAAAGTCTTTCTTCATCGCATCTTCAAAAACAAAGCCACTAGCAGAACAATGGTATTCTGCCAAGAAATATAAAGTGGATTTCCGTTGAATGTATGAAAAGATCTTACAATGTCAAACTAGCTCTATTGGTTTAAAAAAAAAATGATTGATCGTTTTGTTGGTGTTGCTTAACTTCAGGTAAATCATATTTAAGGCATATACCGAAAACCAACAAACTAAACAATTAAAGAACATTTGTGAGCACGTTCACATATCCCTCGACCCCACATTGTCACTGGACAAACAAAATCTCACCAGATTCCTAAGTTCAAAGACTCATAACTCTACAAAAGTCAATTGATAAAAATTTTCTTGTGGATATGCACATTTACATATTATGTCCTCATTAATTACAAACTTTCATGAAATTTTGTTGTGTGGTTTCAGAGAAGTTGCGATTACAAACTGTTGCAGTAGTATATTTAGGCCAAAATTCGAAGTTCGAAGGGGAATAACTCCTAGAAACAAAAATCAATAGAAATTTCCTGTTGATATGCACATTTACATAGTATGTCCTTATTATATACAAAGTTTCATGAAATTCTGTTGTGTGGTTTCAGAGAAGTTGCGATGACAAACTGTTGCAGTAGTATAATTGGGCCAAAGTTCTAAGTTCAAAGGGGCATAACTCCTAGAAAAAAAAATCCATCGTATTTTCCTGTCGATAGGCACATCTACATAGTATGTCCTTATTATCTACAAAGTTTCATGAAGTTCTGTTGTGCGGTTTCAGAGGAGTTGCGATAACAAGAACAGGACTGGCCAAAATTCTAAGTTAAAGGGGCATAACTCCTAGAAAAAAATTGAATCGTAATTTTCTGTCGATATGCACATCTACATAGTATGTCCTTATTATCTACAAAGTTTCACAAAATTCTGTTATGCAGTTTCAGAGGAGTTGCGATGACAAGAACAGGACTCACGGATGGACAGACAGACGGACGGACGGGTGTAAAACATTATACCCTCCGCAACTTCGTTGCGTGTGGTATAATAAACAATCACTTAGGTATGTCCTACAATGTTTGTTGGCCAGATGAATGGTAATTTGGAGGTTATATGCTGCAATGTCGCCATGTATGCCGTATACGCAACCCGAAATAAGAAATACTTGTAAAAAGACTTCAAAATGGCAATCATCAATACTATAGAGTTTAAAAAGAATAAGTTAGGTAGTATTAAAGTTACCATTTGGTACTTATGGTTATATGTTTATCGGATTGGGATAAAATGTTATTGTAAATGCAGGAGCTTCCATACATTACTCCATAGGTTTGTAGAATGATTCCAATGATCATATGCATTATACCTAGCCTTAAATGTCATGTTTTTGGCCTACCAGACACTTTGACTCGGAAAAAAATTGTTCCGGAGGCGTGTGACGAGCGCTCCTAGACTGGATATGATACGTTTGATTATCACGTTTTATGTTTTATAAAAGATCATCAATACATATCTTCGACGGTGTCGTTCATATTTTATTCTTTGTAAGATATTGTTTGAGTGTTAAAGACGGCAATTTTGCAAGATTTCAACATGTTATTCACAAGAACGAATACAATGTATATATAAATTGGTTTCTATTATGGTAAATGAAAAGGAGCTTTCGGGTTTAAGTTAATGAGATACAACACAATTGAAACGAAAAGAATTTGTAATACTTTTGAAGAGGAACCTTTTTGGAAAAGATTTGCACCGGAGTAGTTGAATCAATTGTTACATTTAGTATTGAACTCCGATACTAAAAGATGTATCTTATGATTGAAGTTGATGGTTTATAGTTTTGTCTCCTCAAAGATCAAATAAAATACAAGAAGTTATATATAACAATAAGTCTTACCACAAGAAGTCATAGTTGTAGCTGTCGTTGCGTGGCCAGTCTGTTATAATTTGATGCACAATTTAAAAGCAATATGTCACAATCTTTGTTGGAAAATCTTTCAATAAATATCAAATTAATCCATTAACGAGGTTTATGAACTGTGTAAATACATCGTATATAACAACGTTGATACCGATTATCACCTGTGTTATCTTCGTAGAGGGTCAACACTGTCCAAACCAAAAATAAGATTAAACGGCAAAATAAGTCATGGCTTATGTTAAAAAAAAATCGTGTACGATAGTTTTGACACAAACATATGTAGATTTTTTTCTTATATCAGGTTCACATAACAACATTGTTTTCGTTTGTAAATCATATTACATAAATTGCTCGTTAAATGAATTAGGTTTACATTTCACTTGGAAACTCAGCAGGGGCCTCGGTGGCCGAGTGGTCTAAGTAGTTACTACTGTAATCACTAGCCAGTCAACACTGAGGTTGTGAGTCCGAACCCCGCTCGTGCGGGTGCACTCGACTCCAATCTTAATTGACTAGGATTGTCAGTTTTCCTATCGAAGGTCGGTGGTTTTCTCCGGGCACTCGGGCTTCCTCCACCAATAAAAACTGGCCGCCACGAAATAGCCCAAAAGCGGTGCTTAAAAGTGGCGTTAAAACACCAAAAATCTAAATGGAAACTCAGTATATACTCCAAAGACAACAAACAAAAGTGGAAATCCTGAACAATGATAGATCTGTTCCTTCAGAATTTCAACCAAAGATAAATATTGGGTTTCATGTACATTACTTGATACCAAAATTACTCAATTGTCTTTAAAAAAAAACACGACATTGGTGGCTGTGTCGAATGCTTTACGACACTTTTTTTCCCCTATTTTATCATCAAAAAAGGCGGCCTTGGAGTTATGGTAAAAGTACTTACTCAAAGGGACATTTTAATCAGATGTGGATACGAAGAATTTCCAAAGATCTGTTAGTGTACATTCAGTAGAAGTATCTCTCATCTGGCAATAGTATTAAATATGTGACTTTTCCACCCATTACACTAGGGTTCTTTATTTTAAACCAAAAGACAGATCGAAAGAATTGTTTTATAAAGAATAAAGCCAAAGTAGATACAATAAATTGCTTCGCCGAGCGCAGCTGGATACAACCGCAGAGGTCCAACCCCGAACAGTTGGGGCAAAAATGGACACAATATTCGCGCTTGATACAGGTCTGAATTTGGATTGTAATTAAATATTTGACACATAAAAGGTTTCTGACACAGAATAACTGTAGTCAAAGAACTTAGAATTGGTTATATGATTTGAATTTATATTCATTTTTTTGCTATTGTGCAATACACTTTGCTGTTGCGAATTGACCTTCCCCCTCCCCCCACAAAAAAAAATTACACCCCTTTTTTTTTTAGCTTTTGTGAAAAACACTTTAAGGGTGCGATCAACAGTTTTTTCTATGACGTCATATTTTAAGGGACCATGCCTAAGTGACCCTTAGTGGTGGAATGGTTAATAAAGATACTTGTAAAAACTAGATATCACTGGAATCAGAATTTTCTCTTGTTTATATTGAAATAAAAATATAGTGTACTTTTAATATAGTAAAAAAGTTCTATCCAGAGAAAATGGGGAAAAAGTTGCCTAATCTGAACATAATAAACCTGAAATCAGGTCATGTGCATACCCATGTAAACATGATACAGGCACATTTCCCATAATCAAAACTGTATGAAATTCATAGGTTTTTACCTGGCCTTTAATAAAAATCTTGTTTCAGGGTACGGTTTCCTGCTTCGAAAAGAACTACAGTGGCTGCAAATAAGTTTTAAATTTTCACTTCCAAAAAAACAGGATGTTTACAGTGTTGTCTCCCCTCAAAACATGTATATTTAATCTGATTTTTAAAATTATTTTAATCATTCAACCTGTTTAAATTGGACTAATTAACTAATTTTTACAGTCAATTACAAAAAACATGATACTTTTTCACCAATTATATGAATAAAAAGGGATTTCCCTCCACGGTTATTTTTAGTCGGGGAATAACCCCTAGTTTTTTATATGAAACTGTTTATAGCACCCTATGCTGTTGCATATTAACCCTCCCCCCACACACACACACTTTTTTTTTGCAAAAAAACTAATATTTGAAGAATTTTTCTTTTTAATTTCTGAAATCTGAAATGAGAAAAAATTGACCCCCCACAATTTCTTTTTACCCCCAAAAAAATCTTTCCCTCAAGATATGGTCATAATCTCAATTCAAATTTCCATTGGAGTTTGCAACCATAATTACCCATTTAAATAGATTTTTTTGTGAAAAAAAAAGATGCAACATTTGCAGATATTTTTACTGGTCTTCCTTTATAAATATGCATTTCTTTATACATAATTTAAAAGCAGTGTAAGGGAGGTAATCAAAACGTTGTGTTTGGATTACCTCCCTTACAATGCTTTTAAATTGTCTTAAGTAATTGTTCATTATCCATTACTTTATACATAATTGAAAAGCAGTGTAAGGGAGGTAATTCAAATGATAAGTTTGAATTACCTCCCTTACACTGCTTTAAATTATGTTTTGTACTAAAGTTATTGTCCATTAACCAGGACACCCTTGTTTTTGCCCCCAATTCCTAAACGGTTTGAGCCATAATCCCCCAAAGCAAATCCTAACCATCCCTTTGTGGTATGGAAACTTGTGGTATAATTTCAGAGAGATCCATACACCGATCCACAAGTTATTGTCTAGAAACTAGAAAAATGCTTATTTGGGCCCCTTTTTGGCCCCTAATTCATAAACTGTTAGGACCATAACGCCCAAAATCAATATCAAGCTTCCGTATGTGGTTATAAACCTTGTATTTAAATATCATAGATTTCTATTTGATTATACTTAAGTGATTGTCCGGAAACCAACTGTCTTCGGACAACGACAACGACGTGATACCAATATACGACCGCAAAATTTATTTGTTGTCGTATAAAAACTTTGTTTTAGAAAGGGATAAATCACACCTTGTAAAAATGCTCTGATTTAGACCAAGAGTTCTCTGAAATCTGACATTATCAAGATGCTTGATTTTTTAATTGACAACATATTTGTTACGTTTCGAGGACATGTTTTTCAACAGAAATCCACATTACCATTAGAACCAACTGTGCTGCTTCTCTTCTTGTCCCTTAATCATTGGAAAAAGACTTCACACAAGAACTTCTCAAAACAAATGAAAAGAAAACAGCAATATCCTTTAACTCCATAGTCTGCTATTAAAATGAAGTCCTCTCATTAAATTATTCAAAGTTGAATTAAAAACCTAAATGCAACAAAAATGCATGCCATGTCGTCCTAAACATACTCCCAACAAATAATTGAAAGTACAAATGTGTCTGTGATATAACAGAAAGTAATTGTCTGACAAATTCAGAAAATGCTCACACATTAAAAGTTGTCACTGATAAGCTGCTGACTAAATGTGAAAAAAAACAGAGTAAATGTGAAGATAGCAGTACTTGGGGAAAAGTGTGACGAAAGTTTTTAAGTTCATTCAAAATATTGAAAATTACAAAGTATTGGCAAACAATAAGTAGATTTCCAACAATTCCGAATAATGCTCATATGTAAAACTTATCGCTGTGAAGCTGCTGATGACCAAGTATGCAGTCTTTGTGTTCAGTAGTACTTGAGAAAATTGTGACGAAAATTTTTAAAGTCATTTAACATATTGAGTGAAACATTCAAAGTATCAGTTAACAGGATGTAGATGTCTAACAGAAACGAAAAGTGTTAAAATTAAACCCTGCCAGGCTGTTCACCAAATATAAAGTTATGTACTACCTGAAAAGTGTGATGGAATTGTTTGTTTGTAGGACAAACGGAGAGACATTCAAACAGACAGACTGATTACAAGATGGACAAGGTGAATGCAATTTAGCCCCCACTTTTAGAGTGGAGGTATGAATACTTTCTACCTACATTCACTTTTTGCACATGGATACATTTGCTCTGATCTTATAGTTTTATTGGAATTTAAAGAACTAAAGCATTGGCTCGTCTACTGTCATTAGATTATATGTCAATTTTAATTTTGAGAAATGGGAAAAAGTCCTAAAATAAAGGTACCACTATAAATCCAAAGCTCTTTTTTTTAATTTACTTTCATCAGGTTAAATCTAAAAATTTTAAAGCCAGGAATGTATGAAGACTTTGACAAGCTTTATTACCATGAGGGACCTTTATCAATTTTGCCCTGCTAAAATTTATAAATAGTACTGTATCAAATTTGAATTCCCCACCACTTTCAGAAAAATACAACAAGGTCTATTATTCTGAAATTATGAGGTGTATGGATCCAATGTATGTCACCAGTGTATTATAGTGAACTGAAAATGGTAGAAACACAGATATTTATGTCCAAACACACAATGGCAGAGTAGCAGAAAATATCAGTTTTTAAAGTCTTTTGTTTGACCTGATTTAGGAATGAACCCATGACCTCTGATACTCTAAGTCAGACGAGGGTCACTGGGTGCTACCAGGAGACATATTCAAAACATAAAACAAACAGTAAGACACAATACAATAATTTATATATAATACCATATAAACAACTACAAACAATAACAAAAATATCAATAAGGCATTTGGATGAAGTATCAAAATAAGTTGATTATGCAATGCACTTAAAGTGATCCACTGAAAAATCCCTGTGGCTGATGATCTTGAGTAAATGGCTTGAAATATGTTTTCCTCATCGAGTTTGAGTGACTAAGTCATAAACTGAATGTTAGCTCTATAATTCCCCAAAATCAACAGTAAACATGCAGGTTTGATAACAATTCATTTCACAGCTGAAGTATGGTTTAAAATATCTTTCAGCTGAGCTATTTTATATAACATCCAACCTATTGATTTTGATTTACAAAAAAACATATCTGATTGCACATGAATATATATTGTCTATAAAATGACTTTATTTTACACATCTTTGGTCTATCTGGTATTTGTAGTGAAAACCGATTTATACAATATAAACCCACTTATCTAAATAAACAGTATAACTGATGAAGCTACTAAATATTTCTGATATCACACTTTTGAACACAATAAGCTTAAACATTTTATTTTGATGAATCGTTTTCTTATAAAAAATAAAAACAAATTAGGATTTCTTATATATGACCTTTTTTGTAGCTTTTAAATCATATATTTGTACACAAATAAAAAAGAAGAAAATAAATTACCCTGTTTATCATGAAAAAATACACATGTAAAAGAATTATTATCTACAAAAAAATAGTATTCATATCTATCTGATCACAGCTTTATATGAAAGAATTATAAAGTTAATCAAAATTTTCTTATTTTTATTTTATTTATAAAATCAAAATTGAATATGTTTCAAAACATTTCTTCTCACTTAAAATTCAACTTAAATCATAATATAGGCAAGAGCAGACTAGATTTGCAGAAGAAAAAAACAAGCCAATATTTTTGCAACCAATTCTAATGCCAGTAATGGTATCTCAAAGCAATCATATTCCATTTGGAACCTTTATATCACTTTTCTTTTAAAATAACAAATAAACTGTTATCACAGAGATATGTCTCGCCTTTTTGTAATTTTGATAATACAAATGTTGAAATTAAAATAGCAATACTTTAACATGTAAGTTATGCAAATATTCAAAGTCAATGAACCATGACTGAAGGTACATGGCTAAACAATCTCCATGGAATGAGATGTGCCAATGCTAATACAACTGCATACCAAATACCATTGACTAATGATAAGTCGTTCCCTTTAAACAAACCTAAACACAAACATTAAGTTGTAAACTATGTAAAAGTTTCAAAGTCAATGAACCATGATCAGGGGTGGGGCTATATAATCTCCATGGAAACGATACTTGCAAATGCCAGTAAATTTGCATACCAAATATCATTGACTTAACATTAGCAGTTGATCTTAAACTGATCTAATCACAAACTAATACATGTAAACTAAGCAAAAGTTTCAAAGTAAATAGACCATGACTGAGGGGGTGGGGACAAATATTCTCCATGGAAATGAGATGTGCTAATACTTATACAACTGAACACCAATTAACATTGGCCTACTACTAATGGTTCCCCTTGAACTGACCTAATCACATACTAATACATGTTAACTTAGCAAAATTTTCAAAGTCTACAGACCATGTCTAAGGGGGCAGAGCCAAATAATCTCCATGGAAATCAGATATGCCAATGCTTATACAACTGCATACCAAATATCATTGACCTACCACTAGTGGTTCCCCATAAATTGACCTAATCACAAACTAATACATGTAAACTATGAAAAGTTTCAAAGTCAATAGACCTTGACTGAGGGGGCGGGGCCAAATAATCTGCATGGTAATGAGATGTGCCAATGCTAATACAACTGCATACCAAATATCATTGACCTACAACTAGTGGTTCACCATGAACTAGACCGAATCACAAACTAATACATTGTTGACGCCGCCGCCGCTGTCGCCGTCGAAAACAGCATACCTATGTCTCGCTTTTTGACTCCGTCAAGGCGAGACAAAAACTGAATTTAGGGAAAATGTGATAAAAAAAAATGTTATAATTTGAAAAACCTAGATATGTATTAGTGGATGTCCGAGTGCCCTCAATATTTTTGAAATTTAACTGCTAAAAACCTTACAAAAAATACCTTGATCATTAACCGAAAAAGGTTATTTATGATAACTTTGTGACATATTTTGACAAAAATTTGAAGACACTGATGCCACAGAACATGGGGAATGGTAAATATTAACAAAAAGTATTAGGACCACTTATTCTCCTCAACACTTAATCATTCCTATTATATATTGTTCTTTTCCTTTGACTTAAGTATTGCACATAGAATGAAAAGAATTTCAAGAAATTCACATAAAATAAGAGACAAATGCAAAACATATGGTTTCACATGAAGAAAGGAGTAGGTTCAGTAAGACCCCTTTTTGGCCCCAAAATATAGCAGTTTTACAAAATTGTTAAAATGTAAACTTTTAGCTATTCATTGGAAAGTAGAATACTTCTGTTACATACATATGGGCTGTTTTTGATAATACAATGCATATTTATCGGGTACTAGCATCATTAAGTCATGCTAAATTACTGAAATCTTCATAATTTTAGCATTTGAGTTAATTTTTAGACGGTTTCCGTCTTAAATGGACGTGGCCGCATTTGTGTTCATTCTTAATATTTAAATATAAGTTGTATTTGATGATAATACATAACATATATAAAGGTTGAGGATGAACACGGATGCGGCCACTTTCATTTTTGACAAAAACCATCTGAAAAGTGACATATTATGGCATATTTGATAGATTTATAACATTTAAGCTTGAATATGAGCGTCTTTAATGACTAAATCAGTTCAAATCTTTCACATAAATAAATTGATTCTACTAAAGTAGACACTTAAGTGTTTAAAAAGTGTCCAAAATCTTTCATCAGATGAACCTGAAATTTGGGGCCAAAATCGGCCCTTACCGGACCTACTCCTTTGATGATTAATGTAAATATTGCAAATATGTGAAACATGATTAAAATGTTTTAAGGATGTTTGCTCCTCTTGTTTTTGTGATTTGATGATGAATTTTTGTCAGATATTCGGAATCCTCTGGTTTTATCCATGAAGTGCCATTAAAAATTTTGGCTGCTAACCCCTTACTTTTCTTTTCATAAATCTACTACATATAGTTTTAGAAGCAATATTTAAAAATCTTATAAAATCCTTGTTATTTTTTCATTGCTTTTATAAGAAAAAAGGTGCCAATGTTAAATGTATGAAAAATCTAAAGAAAATCATTTCCTGCCAATTTTTCAATGGTTTATATCTCAAAAACAAGGACATAGTTCTTATAGTTCTGTTATTTATACACCATCAATTTATAACAGTCTTTTAAAAAATCTTGTAATTTTGAAACAGACTAGCGAACATCCTTAAGAGGTGGTTTTAATACATAAAAAAACCTAATCGCTTTGCAAAACTATACAATGCATTTTAATAATCTGTACACCCTGAAAGCATTGAAAAATGCAAAACAACCATATTTTCCCATTTCTTGTCTTTTTTCTCAGAATTTATAAATAAACCCTCAATGGTAACTCTCTGTTTTACTAAAGTACTTGTTTTTATGTAAGGTAGTGTAATATAAACTTCCTGCTGATAGGACACAATAACACTGATAAAATAAAAGAGTTGAACTGAGAGCTATTTATTGCTAACTTATATTACCCCCACTATAAAATTAGTAAACAGGAAGTTGATAATTGATGGAAGTGTAATGGACCATGTATTAAAGTATGCTCACAAGAAGTTTGCTACCAAATTTCAAGAAGCTCTAATTTGTAGTTCCTGATAAAAATGTGATGAAAGTTTCATTGGACAAAGTTAACCAGTACACCCTTCCTTCCCAGCAAAGGTATAAAAATTGGACTGTAAAAATATATATAAGTCTAGCTTCACATAATACACTGTGCACCCCATATTTACCATTTATGATCATTCATATTTGAGCTGGCTTGTTAAGATCTGACGGTGTTTGCTAGTATATAATAGGCTAGTATTTATTTTCTCTTTTGAGATAATTTGGGAAATCAAAAGAGATAAACCCATTATTTTTCATGATTGATAACAACATGCATCAAGGATTTCTGATACATTAATACTACATCATATACAAACATGTACAATTAATGGTAAATATTGCAAGTTATTTTTTCTAATATAAAACAGTTAATGCTGTAACACTGTAATGGCAAATGACTAGCTACAGGACTATAGCATAAGTTAATACTGTAAATTAAGAAATTATTGCATGCATTTATTATTGCAATTTTTTAAAATCAACAAAAATGCAATCTTCATACACATCTATGTATCAATTTTAAGAATGCAAGTTCTTTTTATTGCGATATTCACGCAGTCACATTATTCGCATTAATAAAAACCTTGCAATAATTTCTGAATTTACAGTAGATGTCAGTCAAAATTTTCTTTTAATGTATAACTGCACATATACATAGTAATCTGTGCAGTTAAATATATATAATAAAATGGCATGCTTAAATAATTAATTTTTGAAAACTACTAATCATATCTGTTTCTATAATAAAAAAAATAGAGCTTCATAAACATTGATAAATAATTCTGTTCTGCTTCTAAAAAAAGTAAATTGTATAAAAAAAATCTTTTTTTTTATGGGGGGGGGGGGGGAGGAATTATTGTGACGCCATCTTGATATTTACCTCATTGCTCCTTTATCATTTCTAATTTCTTAACAAAAACATATCAATTTATATTTTTTAATTGACTTTTACTTTTCTTATGGTCTATATATCTTACTGTCAGTGATATAAACATCATCAGATACAAAACTTCATTAAATCTGGGTTATTGCTGTTTTTGACAACTTACATATATATCTTAACAAATGTACAATATAAATTTAAACCATTATATGTACAAATTCAGTTTTTTGTAAGTGATTTATGTTGTCTCCCTTGAACAACTTATGGGTATCATAAATCAACAGAGGCAAGTTGAAATGTACAAATTCATTTTTTTCAGAAGTGTGCCTGAGTTGTCTCCCTTGCACCTCCAGTGTATTTCATAAAGCTTTGCATCAAATCAATAGGCAGAGGGAAAATAATGGTTGAATTCTTTTCTGCTGAAATTGTATTGAGTGTCTGCAAATATCGGAGCTGAATAGCAGCTGGAGACTCCGCCATAACGTCTGCTGCTTCTTTCAGGGCACGAGAAGCTTTCTGTTCACCTTCTGCAGCAATCACCTAAAGCACAAACATAAAATTGAAAATTGAAAACTTTTGATAGATTGATTGATTGATTGATGTTTTAACGCCACTTTCAGCACTATTGAGCTATTTCATGGCAGTCAGTTTTCATTGATGGAGGAAGACAGAGTGCCAGGACAGAACCATCAACCTTCTGTAGGAAAACTGACAAACATAGTCAATTAAGATTGGAGTCGAGCCGGATTCCAACTCACAACCTCAGTGTTGACAGGCAAGTGACACAGTAGTTGGACTTCTTAGACCACACGGCCACAGTTGAAAACTCTTGCATTTTTTCCTTACATTAAAAAGAGCATAAAGAAAATATCTAATGTGACCATTTGATGCCTCATTTTTGTAACAATATGATTAGCATATATTACCCTTCAAATTTGGGAAATTGCCACTGGACTTTAAGCAGACAAGAATCAACCTATCCAATTTTGTGGTCTTTGATTGATCAATTGTCTAGTTTGCTTATCACATCCGCTCGAACAGAGCACCCTAATATAACTATTCTGTGATAGACTTAGCATTTGCTACAAAAAAGATGGGTGCACTGGATCTATCATGGTGTGTTTTTGACAGTTAGTTACTGAAGGTCAGTGCTTTATTTAACTGATTGTACTGATAATGATCATGTACTTATCCAACTGAAAGAAACAAATTTCTTCCAACAAAAAAGTTGTTTCATAAAAGACATAGTATTACTGTCATGACTGTGGTTTCTATAAACAGTTATAGGCTTATCAACATTATCAAGAAATGTATGTTATAGAGAACTTACTTCAATTTTTTCACATTAGTATGTCAGGTTTTTCAGTATAAACGTCACTGAAACTAATCCTCCTCCAAAAAAAAAATATAAATGATAAAAAAGGGCATAACTTACAAGGGGATAAATTTTGTTATTTCTCAATCTTGACCTAGCCTCTATAAAGGTGCATTTTAAGGCATATTTGACTGTATGTGTTTGTGATTACTGTATTACCTTAGCTCTTGCTTCTCTTGCAGCTTCTGCTTCTGCAGCCATTGCTCTCTGTAACTGTACTGGCAGACGGACATCCTTACTATAAGTATAAAATATAAATTACATGACATGATCCTCAAGTGAGCACTTTAAAGTTCTTTGTAGAAAAACACAAATTCAGACACTTGTGATTAGCTTTAGCTCCACCATGTGGAGCCACTCCCTGGTGCTTTCGTCAAGTGCTTGTAGAGATTTTGTGTCATTTATACATTATATCCTTTCTTTAACTTTCATGAATAAAATTATAGTCATTCATAGTGAGATTACAAACTATGCCTTAAAATTCATAGTTCCAACATGTCTGCATGGGCATTAACTTTAGTCAAGTCTGCTGAAATCGTAAATAGGTCAGTTTCAAGACTATCCTCAATTATTTGCCCTTATACTTCACTTTAAGACCATACAAAGATCATTAAGAGGATTCCCTTCATCTTTTAAAAGAGAGGCCATTATATGATTTGTTCATATCAAAGTTTTTGATAGAATTAAGTTATATTGAAACATTTACTCTTGCTGACTAAAATTTCTAAATAAGAAAGGTTCTTCACACAGAGGAAATTTAGAATATCTGATTTTTCTTAATTATGTTCACTGCTGTTTCAAAGGATATCTATCTTCCAGCGTGTAGTCAGTGCTTTGGCATGGCCATCATTGATTTGATAAGTATAACAGTTTTTACCATGTTTACTAAGATGTTTCCTCTTACTTTAGCGTATCCCAAGTCAGGAACCTGTAATTCAGTGGTTGTTGTTGGTTGAGATCTGCCATACTTTTTTTTGTGTAACATTTTATGTATAATTTAGGCTGAAGATTTCTGTTTTTGAGTTGCTTGACATTTTGTCAAGCCATGACCTTTTAAAGCTGACAATTCTGTATGGGTTTTGTCCATTGTTAAAGGCCATACAGCATCCAACAGTAATATTGTTTTCATCCTTGTCCTGTGTTCTCTGGTGGGTAGTCCTCACCACTACGTTTTAGTCCTCATTCAACCTTTGTTTTAATAATTAGTATCTGGATTTCTAAACTTGAAATAGTACTTGAAAAAGTTTAATCCAGTAAAACTAAATTGTAACGATAAGTATAAATATCTAAATATCTGAGACTTTTATATCTTTAAAACAAAGACAGTTGTTTTGTCTCCTTGAATCTAACATCATAAAAAATCAATTGTGTCTTGAAACAGTGAATAATAAAATGACTATATATATTAATTTTCATTCTGTTGCAAGTGGGTTACAATATCTTCACTCAAGTTAGTTAAATTTTAGATTTTCAACATTGAAGCTTAAGAATACACATTTTAAATCTACAATTAACTACCAGGAGTTGAGAAATATTGTAACTCAAGACCAAACATGTTTTTCAGTCTTTCAATTGTAAAAACCTGAAATCTGATAGGGCAGCAATGGTGCTGTTAACAAATTTAGCTGCCTGAAATAATTGTTTTATTATGTGAGAAAATTCAGCCATATGGTTCAAATCTTTTTTAACTACCTAGCTGGGCCTTCTATAAGAGCGACCAGCATTGAAGATATAATAGGGTTTCATTCTGACCGCTGCTCAAATGTAGCATTTCTATGAATAACTGTCAGTAGACTATTAATCTGTAGGAAAATAATGTGTTCCTCATACTTTTTTGTTGTTGTTTTCTTTATATATGGATGAAAATAAAGAAAAGCCAACTGAATAAATTTTGAAAATAAATAATGTTTGGTAAAACAGAACTGAAGTTCTGCATTTCAACCATATAGCTGACAACTTCAATTTGAAGTAAACCCTGTTTCCCCATAGCTGAAATATACGGATTAATAAAGTTTCTGGACAATAGTAAAATTTAGAAAAACTGAAATGATTAATATGCCGAGGATAAATATGCAATTAATGTAATTGGAAACTTCTATTATGTTCTAAATTCAATGCTCTACCACTCACAACATACAGCATTGTACAGGTTATATTCTGTTTTTATTTCAGTCCTTATTATTTGAGATCTGTAGGTCAGAAAACATGTGACTAATTTTGTGTTCTTTTTTTTTAATTCAATTTCATCAAAGGACATGCAAAATTCCACACAGATGCAATCAGATATAAATAACACACTATTTTTTAAATCAAAATTTAGGAGACACATGTAGGAAAAATTTAAATTCAAAAGTTACCAAAACTACATGTGTTTTCCCTAACATTGATCAATGAACCATAAAAATGAGGTCATGGTCTGGTGAGCCCTATTACATTCACATGTTCAACTTACAATAATACTATCAACAAAATATATAGTTGACCTATTTCTTAGAGTTAGTGAGAAACTGTCTAAATCATGAAAACTTAAAAACTAAACCATAAAAATTAGGTAATAGTCAAGTCAGCTGATCCCTATTAGACAGACATGTACACTGTGTTTCATCAATTCCTAACAATACATAATAGAACCCCCTCAATACTCAAAATTTAGTGTTGATCAACAAACCATGAAAATGAAGTCAAGATTAGGTGAACCCTTTCTGATAGACATATTCACCTTACAATTATTCTCCTAAACAAATATAGTTAACCTGTTACTCAAAGCTCAAAGATCCTTTTATCACAAGAACTGAATGTTGATATTAATTACGAAAATGAGGTCAAGGTCAGTTGTCCCCCAGGCCTGTTGGACATGTACATCATACTTCAAGAAAATGCATAAGCAAGAAATTTTCCTCCAATTACAAAGAAAGTTTAAGCAGGAATAACTTCTTGTGAAATTTTAAATCAGTTTTAAAAGTGAACAAATTTTTCCATCATGTTCATTTTCTGTTTTTAATGCAATACAAACATATTCATGTTTACAGATAAATGGGGATCTCACCAGTGCTATCTACGTTTAGAAAAAAAATAGATTTTTACAAGTACAGAGATCAATCAAATATTAAAGTAACATTAATGTTGAATGATTGATTGATGTTTGTTTAACATTATCTTGAAAAGTTTTTCCAAACATTTAATGAGCCAACTTTCAAAACTGCATCTAAATTGGTTAATAACAAAATTTAAGTATTGTATATATTTTCCCTATACTCACACTTCAACACGTTCAACTTTTACACCCCAAGGATCAGTGGCTTCATCCAAAGAGGTCTAAAAAGGAACAAAAGAAACTAAAATATCGCACACACAACAAAAACCCATGCAATGGTTTTAATGCAAGGAAAATTCTTTTATAACCTCTTCAGCCGTTCTATTTCATATGATCTTCCTACATGTATGCATCTTCACAAGCCAAGGGTTACTATCCAGAGGAGGGGACTGGATTGAAACCCTTGGCTAGCAAAGATGACATGTATGTGTTTTACATGAAATTTATACTCATGAACATTTTTTCTTCTTCAAATTGCCAGGAATCCAATTTTAACCAATTTGATTTTTTACACTAGTCAAAAAGAAAGTTTAAAAACACAATTTTCATTCAGATACTGTGAATTCATTTATTTTCAGGATTACCAATTAATAATTAATTTACATGAATTTAGGAAGATTGTTCAATGATACATAATTTCCAAAATTCCCAGTTTTAACTAGTTCTTCATACAATTAGCCCATATTAAATTTGTATATTGATTAACACTTAAATTCTTGGTTCACTTTGAGCAAAGAAATCCCTAAAAAAGAGTAACCCACGAATAATTATGAATCCACAGCACCAGTAGCTAAGATTGACACATGTAAAAGATTCACTATGTACATCTGTTCCCAGAAACTGAAAACAATAGAAAATAAAACAAAAGTATCATGCATGTTTAATCATTCAGTTATTCATGCACTCTACCTGCACCACCTATGTCTTTGTTAAGCAGGTCAAAATCTCAGAATGACATCAAAGCTGCTGAAAACACTTATTTTTTCACCAAAACTTAGGACATTTACCGGTACATTTTGTAAGAATAACTTCCCTTTTACAACAGGTAGTTACTTCCCCTTGTCAACAGGTGGTTTGTTGGGAGTAACTTTATAGGTCATTAGAAAAGAAAAGACTTATTTTGGCTTTCAAACTTCTTTGATCTGAGCGTCACTGGTAAGTCTTGTGTGGACGAAACGCGCGTCTTGCGTATTAAATTTTAAACCTGGTACCTTTTGTTAGCTATTATTCGTATATATTATGTTTCTCTGTCCTAAATGTTATCCCATTTATTTTTATTGTAGTCCTGTCATGTATTGTTGTCATTTTAATGTTATATTTAACATTGCAATAAAAGCGAGAGGTTTGGCTAGCCACAAAACCAGGTTCAACCCACCATTTTTTTCTTAAAAAGTCCTGTACCAAGTCAGGAAAATGGCCATTGTTATATTATAGTTCGTTTCTGTGTGTGTTACATTTTAATGTTGTGTTTCTGTTGTCGTAGTTCTCCTCTTATATTTGATGTGTTTCCCTCAGTTTTAGTTTGTAACCCGGATTTGTTTTTTTCTCAATCGATTTATGAATTTCGAACAGCGGTATACTACTGTTGCCTTTATTTATTCATTCCAAGGGACTCTTTTTGGACTTTGGTATGTCATAGTTCTCTGTATTTTTGTTATGCCATACATTATACAAGAAAGGCTTCTTTTATTTTGATTTTATAAAACCCTTCCTAATATTACTTTGCAATGATAAAAAGTGTGTAAGTTTGAGGTGCAATATCGTTTAACATATTAACTTTTTGGAAACAGAAATCTTAATCTTATCCAATGCATGAACCATGAAAATGAGATCAAGGTCAGATGAACCCTGTCAAACAAAGTACACCTACAAAAAAATCTATACATTGAAAATAGATGACCTATAATTACTTATATTATTTGAGAACCAGGAATGAGTTTCACAAAAAAATCTTACAACTAAAGTTGATTGTAAGTATACTGAATTGTATAAGACTAACAATCAATTTTAGTCGTAATATTTTTTTGTGAAACTCATTACAGACCTAATCACAAAAACTTAACATTGGACAATGAACCATGAAATTAGGTCAAGGTCAGTTGCACCCTGTAAAATGGACATGTAATTATTCTTTTCACCAATATAGTTACACTTATATGAGATAAGAACAGGCATTGTTCAAATTTATGGTTTGTAAATTTCTTTAACACTTAAACATGATTTTTTTATTAATTATAAACCCATGCCGTATAACTCTGAAAAAGTTATTTTTCAAGGAAAAGACAAACATGTCAAACTGTTAGAAAAAAATCAATCGTTTTCAGTATAATTAGAATTTGACCAACTACACAAACACACTCTTGTATTACATATCTACTAACGGAAAACACACATTGTGTGTATGTTAAACTTACATCTCAACTCGTTCAACACGGATACCCCATGGATCCGTGCATTCATCTAAATTACCCTGTAAATACATTTCATTTTACTCACACAAAAAGGACTAAGTTTTTGTACATATATTGTAATTTAAATACAAAATTAAACATTAAATCCTTATACAGTATCAACATAGATATAAATATAAATTTCCAATAACAGATCAGAATTTGTAAAAACTATTAACAAGGAAGCAGGAAGACTGAACAGTAAAACCAAAATCTGTCCTAAAGGGACTAGTCTAATATTCCTTGTTGAGAAAAAAAAAATTTATAATCGGCTTGCTAGATTTGGATTATGGAGCTCCTATATATTACTTCACATGACATAAGGAATGTTCTTTAAACTGCAACTGTGCTATTTGTGTGATCAAATTGTATTGACCATATAAAAATTTGTGATATACAGCCATTGTTTTTTTCTATTTCTCTTTATTTGAAAAAAAAAAAAAGAAAATCACATAAATGACTCTGCCCTTTTCAAAACAGGATTTCATTGGACTATATCTTCTGCCTAAACATGATTCTTTTCTACATGTTACCTAGAACGGGAAATTCTGGATAAAAGTAGGTGGAATACAAGGAAGAAGGTACTGATAAAGAAAACTTTTCAAATTTGGCATCAGAAACCTTTTTTTTGCATAACACATCCTTTTTGACTTATATCATGTAGATGCAATACATATTATGAGACATGATTTCATTTGCAATACAATGTGTATCACAATACTGTTAGTTGGGATTGATATTGACTTAAAATTTGTGAATTGATTTATGTTCTAGATAGAAATTGTGAATAAAAATAATGTGTGCTATATGGTCCACTGCTCCTTTGAATGCCATAAATTTGAGAAAAAAAAATTGTAAATTTTAATGATATTTTTATCATTCTTATTTTTGTAATAAATATGTGTATAACATGCACAAAAAGAAATAACTTTTAATCTGTACTTCTAAAAATGAAAAAGAAGAGGAGAGTTGACTCTCAAGTCAATGTGCCTGTCCAAAGCCAAAAACACCATTAATGGTGGTCCCTTTTTTAATATGGTACTGTTTTTGGCCCTATAAAGAATATGTTGTTGATGGCAGATTTTCTCAACTTGGTTAGACAAGGGCCAATTAAGACTTTGGCATTTGCTACTGTTGAAGACACAATGTTGACCTTTAAATGTCCTCCTGCTTTACTGTGTTACTATATTGTGGCAACGTTTTATGATTGCCATAAGATTTAACAATGCTTTGGTAAATCATTACCTTCTTACACAAACCTGTAAACTATGTGTATAAGCCATATATTTGTAGATATAGATTGTCTGCACACTGCCTTAACATTGAAACCTGTAGATTTTGTAATATTGAAAGAGAAAACAGAATATGTGATAAACATCTGATTGAAGATGAATACCATTATATTTTAGTATGTGACAAATATTTTGATATAAGGCAAAAATATATAAAACCATTTTATTGGAAAAAACCATCTTGTTATAAATTTATACAATTATTGTCTGTTCATAACAATAAAGAGCTTAACAATCAAGGTAAATACCTTTATTTAGCTGATAAGATTTGTTATTCATAATATAATGCTCATATTTCATTATTTATATTATTTGTTGCCATTTTGATGATTCAATGATTCAAACTGTTTGTAATTGTAAAACACATATGTAATTATTCACTGATGCTATTATATTTGTATATGTAAATTCTATAAGCTGTATTGCTTTTGAGTAAAAGATTATTACTATAAATACTCCCAATATTCAAATTGGCATAAAATTAGAACATTATTATTATAAAAAATGGTTTCTTAATTCATATAAATAAATGGATTATGCCTTCCAAGATTGAATATAAGTTGTTAAGGAATTTATCATCAAAATTAAAATAAAATGCTATGCTGGGCGCAGCTTGATACGACCGCAGAGGTCGAACCCTGAACAGTTGGGGCAAGTATGGACACAACATTCAAGCTTGATACAGCACTGAATTTGGATTGTAATTAAATATTTGACACAGCATGGGTTTCTGACACAGAATGAATGTGGTCTAAGAACTTAAAAAATTTTAATTTACCTATTCAAACCATATCATTATTATTTGCTTTTATATATAAATCAGAAATAACCAATTTAAAAATGGAAAATTTTAAAGAAAAAAAAAGGAAAAAAAAGGAAAAATTAATCCCCCCCCCCAATTTTTTGAACCCCCTTATAATTCATCACCCCCAAACTCAATCCCAGCCTTCCCTTTGAGGTATTGTACCTTGCAGTCAGGGCCTAATCTAGGATTTTGAAGAGGGAGAAGTGACTTCTCCTTCCATGAGAGAGAAGGGAGAAGTGGTCAATTTCTTGGAGAAGTGAGATTCCATTACCGTTTTGGTTGCATCGTGTTTTCATGCTTATCACTAAGGAAATTGTTTTATATTCAATAAAAGATACTTGCAGTTTTTTCATGTTATTGTACACAATGTATATATAGAAAGTTCTTAATAAAAAGGTTTAGACAATATATAGTTGTTATTTATTTATTGATACCATAATCAGTCAGGGATATAACTCTATAGGGTTATTACAGAAAAATAACATACATTTGTTATTGTGGACTAAAAAATTAAAGAACTGTGATAACATATGTATGTTACATGTTTCAAAGGGACAATATACATCACTAGTTTAGTTAAAATGCATACAAGTTCTATTGATATTACTATTGTCTTTATGTATACTTAACTATAGAAAGATATAACAGTTCATAGTTTGCCAATTTTGCATAGT